TTTTAAGGTTTTGTTTGTATGTACATTTTGTCACTGTTTTAGCCAAGTGATACAATCAAAAATGTGTCATTTGGGAGTGTATGTTGCTTTTAGCATAATACGCAGAAATTAAACTCAGAAGGAGAAAATGTGTGGTGTTTGCTACAAAAACTTAAGGTTAAACTTGTCAGATGAGCTGAATTGTACACTAGTGGTACATTTAAAAATCAAGTCAAYCATAAATATTTATTAGTTTTCAACAAAAATCCCTAATACAGGGTTCCCACGGGTCCTTGAAATCATTGAAAGTTTGTGAATTTGAAAAAAAAAGATTTTAAGGTCCTGCAAAGTTTGTGAAAACAGCCAAAAATTACAATTGTCCTTGAAAGTCCTGGAATTTTTTGGGGGGGAATTAAAGTTCTCTATTCATACGACTGATTTTCATCATCTTAAAAAAAGTAAATATTATAAAATAAAATAAAAACTTACATTTGTTGGGGTGGATAACTCAGGATTATGGTAAACTGACGTGGCTTTCAACAAATAACATGAGCCATATAGTCATAGTTTTACCCAATCAGAGCAGAGCAGAGCAGGGCGGGTCGTTCTTTCTGAGCCCAGGTGAGAGCACCACAGGTCCTCCTGTCCTCACCGAGTGTCTGGACATGTTCACATCCCCTCCTCCCAAACTGAGCTGCCCAACCTACCAGTACATAATTACATGTCCATGTATTGTAGATATGAATGCAGGGTGTACATTTAATCCACTTTCTTTCATTGATTCTGACGCAACAACCTGTTATTGGTAACATTCTGCGGTAGCAATAGGTAATTGCCGTGGTTCTTTAATTTGAGGAAATTGGTACTGGAAAGTCCTTGAAAGGTCCTTGAATTTGATGTTGACCAAGGTGTGGGAACCCTGCMAATAAATGATATTGATTGCATCATTAATTGCGCAGCAATTTTAAAATGTTTTTAATAAAATTAGCTAATAAAGGTTCTGAACTTTATGCTACTCCTGGTTTTATCACTGATTTCCATATGGGCCATTCAAACATTAGTAGCTGCCAGATGAGTTGAGGGCATTCATTTGTGGGTGGATTAGTTTGCATTTTCTGCTTTATAGATTCCACAGAATCCACATTCCTCCTCCCTTTTAAAATGTGGACTAATGGTATTCTTATTTGTCTCCTGCCTGATAAAACTTAGTTGTATTTTTGCTTCTTATTTCAAAATCTTGAAAAAGTTCTTAAAATGTTAAGTCCGTCCACTTGTATCTGCACTGTTTCTGCTGCCATTTGTTCTCATGATTAATTGATGGACRTTGGCACGTGTGAGTGCAGTACACGTGTGGCCAAGGGAATGACTGAAACTTTTAAAGGTTGGAAGAGGAGGGGAGGAACATGAAGGAGGCAGGAGTGGAGGAAAATCCACTTCAGGCTGCCCGGTGTGTGTATGTGTGTGTGCATACTTGAGAAAGAGTTCTGTGTGGAGAGTGTGTGGGTGCGTCATTCAGTCAGCCTGGGCTCTCTCTGCAGTACGCTCTCCTCCCGGCTGAGTGGAAACATCATGTGTCTGTGGGACGTCCCGGGGAACAGCCCTGTTTCTCTGAACTGAAACCAGATCAGACTGTCTGAAGAGGACAAAGAAAGAAATTAAATGCAAAGTTGACAAGAATTAAAGAAGAGACCAGTGGATTGCTTTTGTTTTATCCCCTTCTAGCAGCTGGACCCACCACCTCAGACTTGGCTATGCCATGCTGGCCCAGAGGAATGGGCATCCTCCAGGCTGTAAGCCAGTTCACCTGAAGGATCCCCCAAAGCTGCAGGATGTGGACAAGAATGCAGAAAGCTGCTGCTCCTTCTCCTCGTCGCCATCATCTGGAGGTTGTCCCTGGGCTCGACTGGCTGGTGTCGATGGCTGCCTGTCCGAGCCGTACTGCCTCTGGTTCCAGCTTTTGGCCAGAGCCTACTGGGGTGAGGTGGAGCTGGGTTTGTCCAGTCCAAACCGCAGCACGTCCTGGTCTCGGCTTCGAGAAGCCTCTAGGAAGAACTGCGTCCGATCTCGGGTAAGGGTGCAGACGTTGCTGCGCAAAGGCACGGACAGAGCATCCATGCAGACCTGGTTTAAGAGTACTTTGCCACTCTCGAAGTGCTTCGGAACACATTAAAGGGAAATCGGTGTGGGGCAGAGACGTTTAGGTTTACATAGAAAACATTTGGGAGAGGATGAGAGGTTTGGGATGACTACACTTGATTGTGCTGCGTGAGGAATTTCATGTGCGTCATCCTGCTCTCCAGCAGCAGGGTAGTCCTGTTTCACTCACCGATATCGCTTGTGGCGAGTGTGTGTTTGTGTGTGTTCGGGTAAGGTTTCGTTTATTGTTGTTGACACTAATGGAGGTTTCTGAGTGACATTTTCTGTTTACTGTCAGGAGACAACTTTGTTTCGTTTGAGCCACATTTAAGCTGATATTTTCAGAATTTCTTTCTATAAAAAAAACGATAGTGAGATTGAAAATGAGTCTCACCATTTAAAAAAAAGAAAAAAAAGATGTAAAAGGCTAAATCCATGCACAATGTCATTCAAATTCAGTCAAACGTCTCATCTCAGCTGCATAAAATAGGGATAGGCATGCAAATGTTTTCTCTTGCAGGCTTTGCTACCATATGGCAATGCCGCACATCAAACCTGCAGCTATCACAATAACAYTGACTAATTTGATGAACAGATTGCGTGCATAATTAAACAGTATTTTGTCAAATAATGTGTGCGTGTTTGGAACAGCTTTGTAGTATTTTATCTTTTAAATATAACCATCTCAAGGCAGCATGCAAGTCTGTGAAAGCAGTAACTCATCTCAAACTGTGCATTTCGGCTGCTTCTCATGCTCTTTAATTTTATCTTTTCAGTTACATATATAAAAAAGAGAGAGAGAGATAAAGTCTGTGCTCGGCTATGGGGCATTTAAAGCAAGTGGCTGAGCTGTTGCACAATGCAACATCATAGTTTGAGGGTGAACTGAAAACAAACAGTGGAGTTAGGTTGCATCACCTCCTTTCCCTCTTCTCCTCTCTTTCCTCTCAGTTACACTCTGGACTATGACTTACGTCCAGCTCCACACCACTGGGTATTGGTAGTGATTTCACCAGTCAAACCATTAGGCCCACACCCTCCCACTCTCAGGAGGATTGTTCGTCAGCTGCTCCCAGACATGCAGAGGAGAGGTGGGGAAAGAAAAGCCAGAGGGGCGATCAGGGGGAATGTCTTTGTTTTGGATCTATACCTAAGATGTATTTTAGTAGGAGAAGAGCCTGCTGAGTGATTTGGATTAAGGCTGAAGCTCTTGGCAGGTTCTCATAGCCTGGAGTCACAATAGTAGTGTTAGCAGTAACCGCTAACGCACGCCTTGCGGTGCAGTGGTTCAGTTCCATCAGTGCTTGGATGATAGATGTGACAGATGTCTCATAACGCAGGAACAGTTTGTGATGGGTGTTTTTGTAGAGTCACTGTGATTTCGAGGAAAAGAATACAGTGGGTAAAATAAGTATTGAACACGTCATCATTTTCTCAGTAAATATATTACTAGACGTGCCAATGACATGAAATTTTCACCAGATGTTGGTAACAACCCAAGTGATCCATATATACAAAGAAATCAAACCATAAATGTCCAGAAATGAAGTTATTTGTAATAATGTGGAATGGCACAGGGAAAAAGTATTGAACACATGAAGAAAGG